AAGCCCTGGTACCAGACTTGTATAACAAAAAAGACTGGTACACCTTTCCACCTTGAAAAAGAAGCTGAAAATATAATGACTTAAAAGTTCATTCATATCGGGTCCCGTGGAGACAATCCATTAAAAAACTTACTCCGACAGCTCAGACCCAGAAAAATTGCAGAACTTTACCAAAGTAGAAACAAGCTTGTCAATGGCCTTTATCTTAAGACTAGTCCTTTTAAATTGCTGTTACAAATATTTTCTTTCATTTTGTGAAATAACATATAATAAACCCCGATTGCATACCTGTCATAGTGCTGGAGGAATGTTACCCATCATAATCATAGACGAAGGCTTTGAACGATTCAATAGATTTAAAACCTAAAACAAGGTGAACTGTTTAGCACAGTAGCTTTTGGGGGATATTATATTTATTTTCCATGACAGACTGCCCACAAGCTTTTCCTTGCCACAGCCAACATTTAAGACAGATGCCAGGAGTGAATGTGATACAGACAACACAAAGATGCTCACAGAGATTTGAAATCAAAACTGATTGCACATAGACACAAAGCATTTTTTTAAAAAACTCATCTGTAAATAAGATTTCCAATCTGGGCAGTATCCACAAATAAAATAAAAAAATGTATGAATAAATAAATCTAAACCAAATGTTATGTAGGGATAAATTAGTGAACAGATCAATATACATATAGATATTATTATTTAAATATACTTTTAATTCATGAACATAAAATTTTTGAAATAATGAAACTGCTAATTTTTAAAAAGTACAGAATTTATACCAAGAAAAAAAATAATAAAGACTTAGGAACTTATTCACTCATGCAACAAGGGCAAAGACATCGTTCACAAGAGAGGCAAACATGGATTCAGCGCAGCAATTCGCATTTACAGCTTTACAAGTTATCTTGGTCATTCTCATAAAAACAATCATCGATGTTCTACGACAGGATTTTTATTCATAACTAGTTTCACAGTTTGCAGCAGTTTTCTAAAGATTTTCCTGAATGATTGGATTTCAATAAATAATTTCTATAAAACTTGACAGCAGAATATTAGACCAAGTAAGTCATTATCACTTACAATCGTAACTCCAAAGATATTTTCAGAATGTCAGTAACCCAAGTAAAAAAAAGTGCAACTTTTCATATGTGGTAACAATCATAAAGAAAGAGAAAAATAGAGTAATTGTAAGTCTGTGATTACAGAAAATGAAACATAAGTTGAGGGGTAAGGAACTATGGTACAGATAAATGCAAACAGGTATCCTATCACAAGACTTTGATGAGCATTTAAGAGTGGCAAAGGAGACAAAGATTGGAGGACCGAGGTAGAAAGACAAGAAAACTGACATGAGTACCACACTTTTATGAAAACTTCGTAAGATATTTAAATTGATTCATAGGAGTTGATTCCCTTCACACTTACTTTTCAGAAACAATGATGCCACCATAGTTAAGCTTCTTTCTGTAAATCTCATACAATTTTCAATTTATGACACTTTGATGAACAGTTAGTATTTTTCTGCTTGTGCATATAAAAATTCCAGAGGAGGAGAAAATCTCAAAGAGAATGCAACAAGGCTTTACCTTACATCTCCAGAATTTTTGTTACTTAAAAAAAAATAAATCAATTTACTCTTTTTACCCATCTGTGAATGGTATGGGGGATGAGCAGCACTGAGCGTAAAGTGCTAGTTTTTTTTTTTTTCAAAAGGTACAAAACTGAAATGATAGCTGAAAGAGCAATTGATTAGAGGAACTGAAGACGCAAGCTTAAATGAACCCGCAAACAGACCGAACCCTATGATGAAAAGTCTCACCATTCACCTGCAAGTATATTGAACTTCGCAATTACTATCAAAATATTTATATCATCCCATGAACTAATTCCAATTCATTCGTGTAATCTATAAATATGCAAAAACAATGACAGTGAAGCACTCGAGACCAGAGTTCAAGAGAACTTCTCCTTATTCTTTTAGGGCTGTTAGTTTAAAGCCCTTCCACACTTGACTTCTGATGCCCTAATTAAACTAATTTTTTTTCATGAACAATCTCCTATATAAAAAAAATGTTTTTTAAAAATAAACATTGAAAAGAACAATCACTGCTTTTCCTGTAAAAGAAAAACTAAAGATCATTCTTCCTCAACTCGTAACATAAAATACACCTCATAAGGATACTTGTTAAAAAAACATGTTAGAAGGAGATTCCATATCATACTTGTCAGGTAAGTCCTTTAACTGTCAATACAGAAAGTTATTTCTCTGAAAGTCAAATTTCTTTAAAAAGTACCAAAGAAATAATTCGCTTCACAGCAAAACGAGTAAAAATACTGTGGAATGTACAGATGTTTAGAACGGAATAAAACAAAATGGAAGGAAGGAATGCTAACATTAGATGACCAGTTAGGAATGACCATGAAGACTGTCTGAAACAAATTAAAGCTGACCAGCATGCAACAAGAGACAAACAGAAAGAAACCTTTCCAATCAATGTGAGAAACAAATTAAACAAAAGTAAAAAGGTAAACCGCTTCTTTTACATCTTTTGGAATTCTAAAGACATGAACCACAAAAAAAGTGCCTTACAAAGTGGTCATGCAATGCACAGGTATCACTTTTTATTTATGTCAATGACATTCACAGACAAGTTTCTTACCATCTTTGAGATCTCAGCATGTGATAATAATAATTAATTTTCCCCAAAACTCTTTCTTATGTCAGACGAACCTTCTTGCGTTATGAATTGACAAATCTGCTTGACACCTAAAGACAAAGTCTTGTGGTGGGGAATTTCGGTGGATCAACTACAACATGCAAAATGCTTCACAGAATGCCACAAGAAAAAGAAACAAGCATAACGATTTTGTTCAGTTTTCTTAATCCAGACAGGAACCCACAACCAAAGTGAACTGTGAACTATCAATTAAGAATCTTTCTCAACACAACACCAGAAGCAATGCCACCAAGTATAAGCTCTTGCTTTGCTAAGAAAACTCAAACTTTATTATGCAAGAACAACATTAAAACACCATTGAGCAAAATCCTTTTACACTTAGCAATATAAGAAACCTAGGTGTAGAATTTGATAGAACAGTTTCTCTCCTCTACAAAGTTCACAAATAATCGATGCTATAAGGGAATTCAAAAAAATATATGGGCTTCAAAAACACTGTACCAATACACACAGGCCAAAAGCAAATTACATTTTGCAAGCACCGAAAAAAAATTAAAGGTGCAATTTTTTCCATGCAAGACTTCAGTCAGATATCATGAATACTACTTTTCACAATCACTGCTTATGCTAAAATGGTAATTCTCAAGAATGAGCAAAACAGAAAGTCATGGAAAAGTCCGAAGTGCAGGAAGTAAATTGATAGACATGGTAAAAGAAGAACAGTCAGCATAATATCCCCCTCAATAAGGAGAGATGTGAACAAATCTTGCTCTCTGCATCAGTCACCCACAAAGATCACACAACAGGACAAAATATTCAATATGTCATCAACACACAAACACTGCCAGCTCACTCTATAATATCTTTTCTGAAACACCTTCTTTGTCATACAGTTTTTGTCTTGAACCAAAACAAACTTTCAAAAGGCATACAAGTGCTCCTCATTTATATCGGTATGTATGCATACTGACAGGTAGTATACAAGAGTAATCTAAGAGTGATTTTTAAGAATGATATCAACACCCGAGACCAGCAAACAAATGCTCAAAGTTACAACTAACAGAGTTCTTTTTATATTTTCTTCTTTGAAGCATGGGACAAAGCATTACTCTTTGTTTTCTCAAAATGTATAGCGCTATCTTGGAGAGTGAGAAGTAGACAGCTTGCTCTTTTAGACCATCAGTGAATCTTCCCCATTCAACTGCTCTATCCAGCTCAGAGACTTTTTTACATTTCTCCTCAGAGAATCCAATTGCAAACACATTGTCTTCTGCAGTGTCATTTCCTACACTCAGGCAGCAATTCACCATCTCTAAATAAGTGATCACTTCTTCTAGGATCTGATTCTTTAAAATTACAGATGCCATCAAAGACCACAACCACAAACCCAAGGATTTCCAACCTGAGAACCAGTCATGTCTTCACCTAAGGTACTTCTGTTTAGCTTAAAGCATGGACATTACAAACTACACAGCATTCGTGTAGTATTCACTGCTTTCCAACAAACCCTTCTCAGCACTTACTTTCAAGGTGATTCTTTTCTAAAAACTGCAGTGAGCCAAAGCCTCCTCTACTTCATAACCAAAGAGAAATCAGCACACAAGAAGGGTCTTCCTTAAACAATGTCTGTGAATTTCTCCTCTTGGAAGCAACTTTGTCCTTGTGCGTAATTAATCGACTTTACATTAAAGAGCTGCACAGAATGTCATGAAGTTTGCATTTTTCCTAAGCTGAAATCCTGCACCCACATGAAAGAAAAAAAAGGTGAATTGTGTGGAGAGAAAGAGGTAAGCTCTATTCCTTGCAGGAAATTCTATCAGCTCAAAAGCATTCATAGACAATGGTGAAGTCATTTTCTTATTCTCTCAAACAAAAAGTAGTCACAGGTCCAGTCAGCGCAAATGGCGCTACACAAACTGGCAGAATATCCGATTTACAACACAGGGAGGGGGGAAAAAAGAATCAAGACACACATCTATCATTGTGTACCAGGGACTTCCTCTGTTAACGTCAATCATAATGGAGACTCAGAATTCCTCCTCTTACATCAGATATAATGAAGAATTGAACTGTCCAAAACAGCTTCAAATCAACCTGGCCTGAGTGACAAGAATGAAATGAATCAGACCATGCACTGGGAAATAATAATAATAAACATAAATAATTAAAGAATAAATTAAATGAACAAATTATTCATGAAAGTAGTAATAAAAATAAGAGTGAAGGTGTGTAGTTACATTTACACACACACCGTCACCACCACAGATTAATGTACACATCTCGCACATCATCATGTCTTCTTATTTCCCCCCCACATATCCCTCCCTCCCAAAAAATAAACGAAACGACCCTCCCCGCTTGTGTGTGTGTCTGTGTGCTCCCTAAGTGGCAGCAGCAGCATCATCCTCCTCATCATCATCATCATCATCGGTAGATGAAAGGGGGTGGGGGCGGTGGGGGGCGGGGCGGAGCATCAGCAGGAGCAGCCAGAGCTGTTCATGTTGGGGTTCTCGGTGAGCCGCGTCGACTTGGTCGTGTTGTTGACCAGGGTCGGGTCGGCGTCCAGGCTCTCTGACATCTTGTCACAGATGATGTCCACCAGACGCTCGAACACCGCCTTCACGTTGATGTTCTCTTTGGCTGAGGTCTCGAAGAACTCAAGACCTGAGGAAAGAATCATAAGACTTACACGTTTTGTAATTTTGTTTGGGTAAGAGTTTTGCGGCACTTGTTTGGTTTAATTTTAGTAGAGATTTTACGGTGCTCGCAACTGCATAAGGTCAAATGAGCGCCAAGGGGTGGATGTCAACAGAGAAGTCCTTACAAGGAATCAGGTTTACTCTGCTCACCTCTCTAGCTTCAAGAGCACAAAGTCTGCTTCGACTATCAAGGCATCCCGGAAATAGCGGGTCACAAGAGTGTGACAAACATACAAAAGAAGTACAGGAAAAATGACGATAATAAGGATTAGGAAAGAAAAAGCAGCAGTTCCCTGTCGCAGTTCAGGTACAGTTATGAGCATGACATTGATGAATCAGCCCATTTACAATTCTACTGTGCATAAGAACATGTTAATGTCCCCCCTTTGGGACACTTCAGTCAGTAGCACCGCCCCAGGGGGTCAGTGGCGCTTGCAACACAAATAGGTCTTATGAGTGCTGAAAATTAATAGCGATACTACTGAAGAGTAACCAACAAAGAAAAAAAAGGAGGAAAGATGAGGATGACAGAAGTTGGATGAGAAAAGAGCAAACTACACCACAGCAACAAATCAACCACCAACAACAAGAATTAAAGGTGAGGATTTAAAATAGTCAAATTACTTTACCACAAGTACATTTTTTAAATAGACGCAGCAACTGCTATCCTTATGGTCGGGTGGACCCTTCAATCCCAAAACTGGTCATATCTCAGAAACTGTTTGAGATATCTGAATAACTTTGACAACAAAATCATAAGGATAAGTGATTCTATGCTGAAATTTAATAAACTACAAAAGTAAATATTTGCACGAGTGGACCTTTTTCTTACACACACAACATAAACACACACACAAACACACACACACACACACACACACACACACACACACACA